GTAACTATGCAAGGTAAAGATTGTCTTTTACTCTCCCACCATGACTTTGCTGCTCAAACCTATTTGCTTACCAGCAGGGCAACACTCTGCCACATACAACCAATCCCAACAATTTTCCCAACAATGTCTTAGATTTGTTAATATTCTCGGCTAGCCTGCTAGGTTTCCACCTATTAAACATGTTTGAAATATAACAGACAGGCAAATTCAGCTATGTACAAATATATACCAACTAACTAACCAGTTGCCCCATCTGTGGCATAATCTACTGCAGAGGGACATTGCCAACTTAATAGATTCCATGCCCAACCGAGTATCAGTTTGTATAGCTACCAGGAGTAGTTTTACAACCTACTGATTTTCACATTCTTTGTATTGCTACTCATAAATAAAATGCTTTTTTCACCCCAATATTAGATCATTTGTTTACCTACTTGAACACTACTGCCAAGTTTCGTAGCTGTGGCTCAATTCTTTCTGGGTGCATATATTTTTTTTGCAACAGTATATATATAATTAATAATATATGTGTATATAATGCAATTTATGTATTATAATTAAATTAATAATTAGTGCATAAACTTAGTAATCTATGTATTAAAATAAAACCAAATTAAATAAAAATGTTAACTGATTAAGCATTTATTGGTTGAATCTTCATAAAAAGTTCTAATTCATATCAAATAAAATTTAATGAGAAAAATTACGCTGAAAATCTATGGAAGTGGGGATATGGAATTTGCAAAATTTAAATTTTATCAATTCAATAAATTTCATTTACTGCAGGTAACATTTTCCTTGGTAATAGCTATAAAATAAAAACTGCAGGGACACTAGCAAATGCAATGGAAAAAAAACCGAAGTCTCCCGGTAAAACCGGCAGGTTGGCAATTATGAGAAAAAATCAAAACAAATACTGCTGAGAAGAGAAAGGAAACAGCAACAGATGCTACTGAAATGAAGTTGGAAATTAAAAACTCCAAAGAAGCGACCAGAATTAAAGAATATTATCAGTCCTCTCTTAAGATGAAGAACTGTGGCAAAAGCGAAAATTGCCTCTAATGTTATCATAAACATGAAAGAAAGCATTAGCATTGCCAAACGGGATATTGTGAATGAGAAAGAAGCCAACTTGAAGAAAAACTTGAGAAAGAGATGGGGACTGCAAATCAAGAAACCACGAATGTCACTGAAGAAATTCCTGCTGTTAACAAGAGAAAAATACTAAGATTAGAGAAGAAATTTCTGGAAGCAGTTCCATCAGTTAACAACATTCAAAGCTGTTCCTAAGCCATTGGTTGCCCATGTACTTTACTAAGATTGCTGCCCCCCCCAAAAAAAAAACTCAATGATTGATAAAATTTTTATTTACTACTCACTAAGTACTTATATATATGACAAATTGTATAAAAAGTACTTACATATGACAAGTACTTACAACGAATTTCAAATATTTAGGCATAGTATTGTGAGAGTACCGCCACCCATGTACTCTTATGTGCTGCACCCCCGCTAGGAATGGCCCTGAGTACGTCCCATTTCATATTTCCGCGAGTGATACTCCAGCTCATCTAGCTATGAATAAAATTACTGCTCAGTCATGCTGTTTCATAATCAAACCTATGAAGGGAAGTCTTTGTGGAATGTATATAAAATGAAATATGAAATAATTTTGCAGGCATATTGGTGGATCTCCAAAGTATTATATTTTCCAGTCGTTTTATGAAAAGTGGCAAACTTTCTACAAACACTTCTGGCAAAAAAACAATCAGATGCTCAGTAAAGTCTCAGAAAATGCTTTAAAGTTGCAATTCAGCAAAAAGCTTCTCAGAGATCATAACAGACTGCACCTTAAAACCTGGAAATAAAGAGCGGGAGAAATCCTTGAAGAGCTAGTGAGAGCCAATGAGAAATGACTCAGCTTGCATTTCCAAATTGTAGTCAGGAAATTAAAAACACATGAAATCTAACATTTTCTGTTGATGTTAAAGACCTTGTTATTGTTTCAAATAATGTGTGTGTGCAATTAGTGAGTTTCATTTTTCTCAAAAACCCTAGCATTTTCAGATAGCTCTAGACTAAAATGAGTTAAACTAATCAAAGGGGACTTTTGGACTGCATCTCTGCACAGTGTATCCATTTCTTCATTTTGTAACAAAAGAAGAATGAAGAGCTGTCTAAAAGATGCCATTTGGGTAAGATGCATCTTGTGTCAGGAAAGCCTTTCCTCTCCCTTCTGTAATAGTAATGTTGTTTTGAATAATAATTCAAAACTTGTTATAACCCAGAAATTCACTTATTAAGTTTTAAAATAAATTTAAAAAGACAATCTGTCTTAATGTCTTCCATTCTGGGAGTTTGACAATGTTACATTACACATGCTTTTCGAACATTCAGCTAAAAGAATCTGAGAATGTTCTCATACAGATCCTTTGCAAGCATAGCAGACATAGGCATCTTCCAAGTATACTGATTTTCAGAGAGTACCAGTTACGTTGTTTTTGGAAGCAACATCATGATGGACAAGAGTAGCATACTAAAATACACTATTTTTTGTTGTCAAAAAAAGAAACGTGCATGACATGTTTTTAAAAGAGCACTTGCATTTGCAAAAGTAAACATCTGGTGTGAAGCCTGGCTTGAGATACATGAATGACAAATGAATGCTGAAATTACTTCTTTAAAGAGGGTGGTGGTTGTTGTAGTTTATCGCTATAATTTTGCCAGTCTAAGGCTAGCTTTAACAAGTCATATTATTTCTTTGTGAGACACAGTCACAATTTTTCAAACTGATTTTTTAATATTTCCTCATCTAAACATCATTTCTATGCTTTTAATTTTGCTTTTTGTCTTTCTGCTAATACATTTCTTTTTTAAACCTTTGCATTGCAAAATACCCAATTCTAAATATCATCTATTCAGATCTCAGTTTGTTTTAAACTAATGAAATAATTATACTTTAAAATCAGTAACACATTTCAGGTTTTATCTAGTAATATATCAGAATCAAAACAATGGAAAATGATATTTATCCAAAAGATTTCCCCAAAAAGGCTTTTCTGAAACCTGCTCATTTTCAAGAATTCTGGAAAACTGCGAACAAGTTGTGGTATTTACTATATTCAAGGAATGTTGATGCTGTTTTCAGTTTCATTTGCAAATTATTCAGAAGAGTTAATTGCAGTAGTCTCCTAAATGCTGAAGATATTATTTAAAAAAAAAAAAAAAAGGCAGATGTAAATAGGTGATGCTTGTGGAGCTCAAAAAGATCCACAAACATATAGGCAGGGCAGAAAATGAGGATAAACTGTAGGACGACCATTTAAAAGGTCCTCTGCCTCATACAACTAAGATTAAAGAGTATGTTTTAATCAACATAGATTACTTCAGTAAGTGGCCCAAAGCTTATGCCATCACTGATCAAAAAAGTTCTACTGTCACTAAAATTCTACTAGAAATCATTTTCTGATTTAGAGTGCATCTCATTATTTATTCACTCTGACCAACGAAGAAACTTCTCATCTGCCATATTTAAAGACTGCAGACAGAATTTTTTGCATGCAAAAGACTCGAAACACTCTTTTATATCAAGGAGTAAGGAATACAAGCAGTTGTATAATGTATACAACTGCTTGAAACACTTTTTCCACCTGAACAGTAACTGGAAGATCTGCAGATTAGAAGATGTTCATCAGTTCATGATGGAAAGGATCACTGACTGAGATGATGAAAACAACATTGAGATCAAGTTGAAAGAGAAGGAATTCAGAGATGGAGATCAAACCTGGTTGTGGAAGCCCAAGAGTCATTGAGAGACTTCACGCAAGCTGAATATCTCACAGAAGGGACTCTTCCGTATCACCAAGAAATTGCATGACATTGCAGTGCATTACACAAAACTTTTTAAACTAAAATAGTGCACTATATACACTTGCACCTTAATGTGGTAATAAGGATTAATTGTCCCCTGTCCTAAGGATATCAGAGCCTACGACAGTCTTTAAGTAGGAGGTGATGCTGCAAATTTCTGTAAATATTTAAAACTTTTATTACATTATTGTTTCTGTGTGATGTTCATTTTATATAATATTTTAGGATGTATTTTTATGTAACTGAATTCATGACTATATATTTTCTATATAAGTGCTTATTTCTTATTAGAATTGTTACATCAGGGGCGACTGTTATGGAAGAAATTAGCTGTCTTCACAATGGTTAGAACTTTCAATTATATAGTGCAACAGAGACTCATAACTGTATTGTCGAGTTTGAATGGGCTGCAAGTATCATTATATACCATTATTTAGATACTAGCTGGCAATACTCCAAATCTTGTTTGGGCAGCAACTTGGTCAGAAGCCTATTCATTGAAGCACAGTATAGAATTGTAGATCTTGTGATTATAAATGCAATAAAAGTTTAAACTGTGGAAACAGATAAAATGGAACCTTAGATATATGAAAAAAACTCTCCTGGCCTGCTCCAGCGACTTTTGTCATCAAGTTGGTGATTTCCCGCCAATAAGGCAACTTTCTGGAGTTGCAATAAAATGCATTTTTGAAGCTTCTTGAACAACTTTTCCAAAGCTTTCAAAAGGCTGACTGCAACATCGGCTATCATTTAAAATAATTATTTGAAGAAATTTCTATGAATTTTAGCTTGCATCGATATATATATATTATATCGCACCAATTAATACAGAGTCTTTATATTAATTTGCATATGTTATTAATTAAATTTTGAGATAAACATAATTTGCTTTCATGTATTGAAAGTTATGCTTTTTCAGGTTTATGAAGAATAGTGTAACGTATTCTATTTATACAGGTCTTTATAAAATAATAATACAAAATTTTCATTACTAGCATTTGAAAAAGATATATGATGAATATCAGTTTTACATAAATTGTTGAGTACATAAATTATCCAAAATAAAACAAAAAGACTTATAACAAAAATATTAAAACATTAAATTTCTGATGGAGGGAAACAAATCTTACATGTAGTAACAGCAGTGTTCAAAATATCTTGCAGTTCATCATCTTGTTTACAAATATATATATAATCTTCTAAGCAGCTCAGTGCATCAATACATTCAGGCTTAAAACATGCAGGAAAGGGAAATAAAAAAGTAAATATAAATTGTCAATACATATATACAAAATTATGTATACAACATACTTGTACAAAGCTCTATACATACTCTAAACATACACTTAAATCCAATATAAGCAGCATTAATGGCAATTGCTTTAACAGGGGTAGATTTATGAAGTGGTGGCTCATCTCACCAGAACTTTGGGAGAGTTCCTTATCTAAGATGCAGGGTAGTTTTTCTGATTTTCTAAAATTAATCATTTGGAGGCCCTTCATAATTGCAATTTGTTTGACTCCATAAATCTATTTTTGTATATATAATGAATGTACTGTAATAACTTGGTTGATTTTAACAGACAAATTTAAAACCAGAACTTACAAAATTTGGCTAAACTGGTATTAAAATTAATTTTAATTTTCAAATTCATATACACATTTGATTATAGTACAATTTAGTCAAAGCTGAAAAGGATTAAAATGAAAGAATGATATAGGGACGGGAAGAAAAAAAAACTAAAAGCAGCCAAAAGCAATGCAAGCCTTTTTTACTTAAGTTACTTTTTTATGCCAGTTTACTCAGGAAGCTATGTTATAAAAATCTGTTCTGCTACTTCATATCTAAGTAATAAAATAAAAAAATTAAAAAATCATCATCTTCCAAGGAAATTAATCATTGCAAAGCATTAAAGGACTTTTTATATTCCTACACAGAAGCAGAGAGAATCTGATAATGTTTTTAGCCTTTTACAATAAAAGCTTTCACATAACAAACCTACTCTTCGTATGAGAATCACAGCTAGGATACAACTGTCAATGTTCAGCAGTCTTATTCTTTCCCCAGGCAGCTTTATAATTTTAAAAATAATTACTCTTTATAAGCTGTTTTGGTTAAAGATCTTGTTTCATTTGAGAGATATAAATCATTCTTTCTTGAAATGTTGATTAAATATGAGAAAATGAAAGCAATATCTAAAAATAACATTAGGAAAAAATTATAAATATTAGACAACCATTATATTTATGAAAACAGTTTTAAAGTAACACTGAATTATATTTATGAACATTAATATTGATTTTTGTAATAAAAGAATCTTAACTTACATGTACACTGTGGGGGAGAAACAGATGATGATGAGAATAATTCTATATCCCCCATTCTACTGGACCAATTCAAATATCGCTTTTCATGTCTCAAAAGTGCGACTTAAGATACATATTATATTTATATATAGCATCACTCTAACATAGGTATTTTATTTTGATACAAAATCAGACCTTTTTCTGAAATAATATGCCAATTTTTTTCCATATTTGGATTCTATGACTCAAATGATGCCTAAATATTAAATTTTGTAAAATTCGGTGCCAAATTTACGGAGAAATTCAGAAATTTATCTTCTCATATTTTTCAGTTTTCGCCAAGAATAATTTACTTGGCGAACTCCTTAATTCATAGTAACCTATTTTCCTCCATATGAGCGGGGGGAGGGGGGGGATCATTCATACTTTCAAATAATTTTAACAAAGTGTGTAAACCACATTTGGCGTTATTATTACTCATAAAAAAGATGCCAAATTTCAAAACTCTCCAACATGTAAATTCATCTATATCTTAAAAAATTTGGAATTAAAAAAAACTAATTTTTTGCAGGTGTGCCCAGAAATTCACTACTTTAAGATAATGTTAAAAATTGTACAGGTTATAATAGAAATTTTTTTCCAAAAAATTTATAAAAATATTTTAGAATATTTTAAAAATAAATCATAAAAAATGTGCAAATTATATTTGGAATGCAAATTATATTTGAATTCTGGAAGAAAGAATCAAGTAAGTTTAATAAAAAAAAAGATATTAATAAATATATATCGAATTCAGCTAACAAGAGGTAAAATTTTGAGAGCTAATTTTTCAAAACTACTCGTTCGATTTTTACAAAACTTGGCAACTTGGCATAATTTGAGTCATAAAATCAAAATATTTAAAAAAATTGGCATGTCATTTCAGAAAAAATCTGATTTTGTATCAAAGTACCTATATTAGAACAACACTACATATAAATGTAATACATATCCCTAAGTTACGCTTTCGAGACATGAAATTTGAATTTAGTCAATCGGCCCAGTAGAACGGGAGACATAGGACCCCCCCTTTTTTTTGGGGGGGGGGGAGGGGTGCAGCATACATCCAAGAATTTTCTTAAATTGTAAAATAATAAAGGAAATTTTATTAAGCTAATGAGTCTACTGTTGACTTAATGACAATGTTCCCTCGAAATTTATACATCATTATACTTACACATCATCATCCGCATTGTCCAAGATATTTCTCCTTTCTGTTTTATGAAATAAAGTGACTGTGCTCCATTTTGAGAAACTGTTAGGTGGATAGAATATTTTTTTTAAAGTAAGACTGGGTTAATGTTGGTTTTTCTTTAATTTAAATGTCTTATATTTTCTCCTCTCTCTCATTTAAATTAATCTAAAATAATTATTTTTGAATTTTAAAACTTTTTTTCATTTATTACTATTGCGACACTATTTCATGACTTTCTATACACAACATTTTACTTTATTTTGGCCAATCTCGTTTTTCATTTTATGTGGCCATTATAGAAAATGCAGTGAAATCTCTCATCATAAGCAGCTCTGAAAATGACTAATATATCTAAGAACATAATGAACTTTAGCTAAGATGACTGCTTCCACAAAATACCAAAATTATGCAGAACGATTGGGCAGTTGTCTTGAAGAGGGTTTCACAGTAATTAATTTTCATTTATATATTAGTTCTTAATTTTTGCATAAAAATAATCTTATAATATAAAATGAATATCAAATAAATTGCAATAACTATTTTTACCTAATACTACTATTAATATTGATTTTTCTTTGAATTTTCTTATTTTTATATTCAATTTTATTATTATTTTACAAATCCTCTCTATGGAACATTAAAAATATTAGAAATACTTTAAGTCAAATATGCTACAGGTCTTAACAGTGAAGACTTTCTTCTTTGCGTAGCCTACACTGAACACCCATTTACATATTACAATATTAAATTCTTTTCTTATTTAGGATTGATAGAAAAACAGCTGTTTATTTTGAATTTCTTAATTTTGTTTTACGCTATCATTAGAAGTAATAATTTATTCAGTACTTTTCCGTTTTGCCAGCGCAAATCTTGCCACACAGACTTTATTAGCGACAACATATAGTATGCGCATAAAAAATGTTAACAAATGTTAGTTCTAAGAATTTTTTATTTTGAAGGCATAAACATTTTAATAGCATTTAAAATTTTGTAAAAAGCCAATAAATTTGTAAAAAGACATTAATTTAAGTATTTACTATGCTTTCATGATTCAACATTTTGAGTCACGGTTCATATCACGTGACCCCAAGTGATCTTATCTCACGTAAACTACACTACGAAAATCTAATTCTCTCAGTAATCATTATTTACATTAATTTCAAGTTAAATCTTAGTTTGGAATACAAGTTTAACCCTCTGAACGGCACAGGATTTATTGGTGTGTGGTGTATTTAATTATGGCAAAGCACACGAGGGCTATCTGCCTAAAGGGAGGGATGCCTTTCGTGGAGGACTTTCTAAGGGAAACTGGCTCGTATACACGTTACACATGGGGAAAACCACGAAAACGCCCATGCAGCCAGCCCATTCGCGGGATTCGAACCTCAGACCGAACTACCAGTGTTCAGCGTCTTTACCGCTCGGCCGCTGGTGGGCCCAGGATTTATTAATTGAGTTTCTAAATTACTTATTTTAGTCTGTATTTTCATAAACGTACATTCATTAAGATGATATTTACATTATTAAAGAAAATAAGAAAGCAAAATATCTTTAATTATAAGCTAATATATGCCAAGTAGCAAAACTTCTGATGACCGGATAAAACCACTCATATCACTCAGAGGGTTAAATGCAAGAATTATTTCAATTCATACGAATAGCTTACTCAGAAATTATGTAAAACCGCAGTGCTTCACTTCTTTAATGCATTCTGATTAGAATGGATGAATTTAACCCTTGACTTTGCCTTTTCTATATTTTCGCCTTCGGGTGAGCGGTGTGATTTCATCCTAATTGACTTAATTACCACGAATGGCCTTAGGGCATAAAATTGAACTATCTGGTAAAAATTTGATGTAATTGTATGCTAATAATGAAAGAGACAATCAATCTGATAAGAAATGGCGGCGACTTATTTTGGAACTGAGGCGCAAAAGGTTACCAGCGAGGATATTCTTGTAAAGTATAGCATTGTTCATCTACATTCAACCAGTGTAATATTAATTTCCTTTTTATTTTTGCTGAAGTGGCAACAGCTGTAAAATGTTATTATTTTGGTCTAATAAACTTGTTTGGTTGTGTTTAAATTTTTGAGAGATTATTTAGGTAGAAATGAGTTGATGAATGGACAAAATGGTGTACATTTACTGCCGTATCAAGCAATTCTGTTTGGTACCAGCTGTACCATTATTGGCGACTTTAATCGCCTGCACTGGCAAAACGGAAAAGTACCATTTATTCTTATTAATATCTTATTACATATATACATCCAGTTACAACTATTTATAAACTGCAGACTCACATCTGTCAACCAAAGAATAACTTCAGTACTTTCTGCCTTCATGCTTTTAACCATATTTTGAATGCCCTAAAAATAAAAATAATCAAATCTTTAAATTTGATTTACACAAATAAAAGCACATTCTTTTATTAAATATATATCCATGGTACTCTTTTAAAATCAGAAAGAGTTTGACACTACAGCTGTCATGTAATCAGTCCTATATATAGCAAACTGCCCTATAATATGTTGATGTATCCTACACATTAAGATTCCTTTTTTTTTTTTTTTTTTTCCACAACATGCTAAGGAATTTTCAGTGGTTCTCTTCTCAATCAAAATGCTCGTTTTGCGACTCTATTTATACATTATACTACAAAACACGTTCATTATTTTAGCAAAAATCTTGTTCATGCTCCACAGTACAAAGAGAAATTTCTTTTCTACAGATTTGCACACTGTTCCAGTTCACTTTCCTGCTAATATGGAAAGTTGCTTCATCACTGAATACAAGATGGGTGAAAACCATTCACACGTTCACATTTGTTCCTCATGTTCATGCGAAACTCCATTCATTGGTCCTGCTCGCTAAGAATTAAAGCTTGAGTTATCTGTATTCTGTAGGGTTTCACTTTCAATTATTTTGTCAAAACACACCACACCATTGTTTACAAAAATTCCGTTCATAACTCACTTCATTAGTTGATTTCTTTTGGCTGCGTAGAAGTGTCGCTCTTATCTTTTCCATATTTCCGTTACTATCATGTAGCCTCCCTATGCTTTTGCCTTTACAAAGACAGCTTGTTTCTTCAAAATGGTATTACCACTTTTGAATGCTTTTCAGTTGGACTATCTTTTTGAAATCACCAGCGAAATGGACTTTGGACCCAAATTACAGATTCTGATTTCACATACTGCAAAACACAAAACGTCTTCTCTTCCTGAGATGCCATTTTTCATTCTAGTGATCACAGCACCGCCAAACCTTCCATACTCAATACAGGTTGCAGAGAAAAGAAAATATTTGTGTTCCTTGCTTTTAAACCTGTTTTATATCTGTGCTTAAAAATGAATTTATTACAATGATTTAAAATACTGTTTGAATAACCCTGTATATTTATTACATTTCAGCAGTTAATATCATTATAAATTTTGTACATCTATTGATAATTTGAGGGAAATTATACAAAGTCTAAAGAAATGATGCTCCACCTGAAAAAAAGAATACAGGGGCAAATCTATTTAACATTTAATATTTAGATAATGTTAAATCTATTTAACATTATCTCGCTAAATTTACGAAATACTGCCAAGCTAGTAATGGCTTTAGCGACTAATTTTTGTTGCCAAATTTGGGTAGAAGTAGCCAAACTTATTTTGGTCGAGTCCCAATATAATTGCAATGGGAACAGAAATTGAATAACTAGTTGATCTATGTAGCTATAACTGTATCTAGCCCTCATACGCTATAACTGTATCTAGGCTACTTCCAGTAATTTTGACAAGCAGGAAACAGTAGATGTCTTGGCTGGAGAAAAACTGTATAAAATTGAAGAGAGCATCAGTTGTTGTTGTGAGTTATTAGTTCACAGCGACTTCAGGGTATTAAGAAATCCATGAAAGTTTTGCCTCTTAGATGTCCTTTGCACTGCTGTGTTTGATGTTCTTAGTGGTCTGAAATGTAATAACTGACTGTACTCTGTGATACTATGAATACCTGTATTTCTGTGGAAAGTTCTAGAACTCTGAAGTGTTCCATTTGATAAAATAAATTTTATTAACCTATCATCAGACCTGTGTGCATTCAATCTATTATGAACAATCCTAGATACAGTTATAGCAGTTATAGTAGCCTAGATACAGTTATAGCATATGAGGGTCAGATACAGTTATAGCTACATAGATCAACTAGTTATTCAATCATCTACACGCAACAATATGTTAATAACTGACAATTTTACTGTGAAAAAAAAAAGTTCTAAAGATTTCAATACCAATCAAGAGTAAATTCAGAAGGTGGTTAATTTTTCCCTTAAACATTTGATAACATAAATTTTATGAATAAATTATAAAAATATTTTTATTAAGAAAATTTAATGCCACCCAGATGGTAAAGTGGTTAGGGGAGCTGACTGATAATGAAGGACCCAGGTTCGAATCCCAGAGAAGGCATGGATGTAAGGCCACCTATTAGGTGTTTCTATAATAAAATGACCACCACTTCTGGCCTTAGTAGTGACAAGAGCTTAAAAATGGCATTTAATTTTATGGCAGGCTAGTGCCTGCCATAAAAAAATAATAAATACCTTATTTACTTCCGTATAAGACACACTTTTTTTCTTTGAAAATAGGTCTGAAAAATAGGGTATGTCTTATACGTCGACACTCAGTTTTTGATTACATTCATATCTGAAAATTTCCTCTATTCGAAGTTATGCAATTTTTTCTTGTTTTGTTGCCGAGAAAGGGAATATTAGTTATGTAGAGTTCAGTGAATGTGCATGCGCTGTCATCGATGATAACAGCTGGGTTCATTTAAACTTTCCAATTTTAAGTGTATGAAATTTCTACTGTTCAATTTTCTTAAATTTGTTGGCAAGTTATGGCTCAAAAACTACGTTGGCATTGCTATAACGTAGCATACAAGCTACGTATGATTGCATATGCTAAAGAATATGAAAATTGGTCTGCAGAGAGGCATTTTGGGCCACCCCCAACCAAGAAAATGATAAAAACTGGGCGTAATCAGGATCTAAATCAGCGGTTCTCAACCTTTTGACTAACGTGTACCATCTAAACAAAAATTTAAAATATGTAGTATCACCACTACAAAGTAATACTACCACCAACACTCTTGAACATTGCTCAAATCACATAAATTTACAATTGTTAGAGAAAAGAACTCAATCAGGATTTTGGGGTTTTAATTTTTGAATTTTATAGTTAAATATACTTTGCCTCTTTGTGTACCACTGGTTGAGAAACCCTGATCTAAATTATTATTTTATAGTTAAAATACTGTAAATTCATTATAATGATGAGTAATAAAGTTTTATCCTTAAAAAATGTGTATAAAAAAGAGGGTGTGTCTCCACCCAGCCAGCAAATATGGCGATTCATTTAAAATCCTATACCTTCAGTTAAAGAAAATGGCTTTTAAAAAGAATTACGATCAGGATTTTGCCATGTGTACAAAATTTTTTAACTTCTCAGTCTGATTAATTATTTCAATAGAATTATGCATCAGAAAATTACTATGGTAAATTTTCGTGAGTACATCAATCTTGGGACTATTTTAAAAATGTCATATTAAACAGAATGACTTCTAAAAAAGAGTTTGTAGGATTCCCAACTGTGTAATTCTACGTTACAGTTGAAAGTGAAGAATTTTAAGAACTAGTATGCAAATAATCGCTTGAGTTTGCAAGACAAAATAAACTTGGAAAGGGTTTAAAAGACCCTTTATTATTCAAATAGGACTTAACAGAACTCCGTCTTGGAGTTGCACAATAAAGCCGACACTCGGGCTTCAAATTAAGAAACTAAGAATTAAACTAATCTTATCTAAAGAGCCACAGCTATCAAGATTCTAATGGAATTGGCCCCTTATCGCTAATTGACTGCGAAGGTATCAAGGGCCTAAAGTATGGCCAAGCATAATAATAGCTTATGAGAGAGTAGCCTAAAACGGCGGAAGTGTGCAGTCAGAATATCTGGTATCTCTTTCACTAAGACAGTAGGACTTTGTGCTTGAATACCGCTCTTCCTCATTAGCATTCAGACATGATTCTAAAACTATGTTCTGGCCGGAAGTGGTAAGTTGAAATTAAGAAGTGATAGAAAAGGAAGTTTAACTCAAAATTTAACTGTTAATAAAATGAACATAATCCTTACAAGTTTAAAAAAAAAAAAGACTTAAATTAATCATAAAATCTTTCTTATAAAATTCAAATTACGATATACAGAAATAAATGTGTTTACTTGTTTGCATGCTATTTTTACACTGATATATAACAGTTTTAATTCCATTTGATTTCAAAAATTATTTTCAGAAAGTTTCCAAAAAATTCAACATTGCTGATCCTTGCTTGCTTTAATCATCAAATTAATGATGTTTTCATCTTTCTCTTACCAGGAAAAATAACACAACCTGGAACTCTAAAGAATGCTAAGAGTATGCAACAATTTCATTAAAAAATTTCAATCTTTAAAATGCAATATCCTACCTAAAGAACTCATATTCTGGCATTTTTTTTTTTTTTTTTTCATGTCTTATCAAAACCTGTAGGCTGAATACATTTTGGAAAAAAGTACTTTTTTTATCAAGAAGTATACTGTACTTTTATGACTCTGATGCTATCAATTATGGTGCATCTGAAATTTAAAAATATTTAATACTTTAGTATAAAATAAAAGAACAAAAGCACCAGTTATTACTCAAGTCGTCAAATTTGGTATTTTCAGAATTTATAAAAGCATAAAATAAATGATGTACTATGCAAGTGATAACATATGGAGCTTTTAATGTATAAAAGTATTTTCTTTTATTGCAATTATATTAAATTTACACAATGTAATCATACAGTTACGGATTATAAAAATCTTTTACCATTGCTGTAGTATAATCTATTTCCTTCAAATTGTTCCCATGAATAATTACTGTACATTTGGATCGGTCTGGAACATCTATATTATTAAAAAAAAAGATTAATAAAAATTTAATATGAACACAAAGGCCATTTATTAACTTTCATAAAATTTACTTACTAAGCAAAGCTTTGGACACTATTCCTTTAAAACGATCTGAGGAAGGAAAATATATACTGCTCTCAGGGTACACATGAATAAATGTATATCCATCATCGTTCTGTAAGCATACAAGCTAGATATCAGCAACATAACATCAGACTGCTAGATATCAGCAGCACAAAATTTCAAAATTCTTCACACTTTCTTTTTGAAAAATATTTATTGGAACAAAAACTATCATTTTCCACTTTATATATTTATTACTAAATGATTAAAATTCACATTCTTACACAACTTTAGAAAAGTTTTTAATGGATTTCCTGTTACACATGATTAGATTTCAGGAATAAATAACTTACCATGTTTATTTGCATAATAGTTGCACCATTGTGTTTAAGCAGAAAAAAATCACCAAAAGTGTACAATATTGTGTACTAGATTTCCCCGCATAATATAATAGTCGCATCAATACTTTCACAATGAAAAATTGGCAAAAAAGTGCAACTATTATGCGAGTAAATACGGTAATAACTCGCATTATTTTCATCAGTCAAATTGGAATTTACAATAAAATGAAATACTTTCAGGGGTTGTTAATACGTCTTAATATTCTATTTGGATTATAGTATAATTAATCCTATTGGAATAATTTCATCACTTTACGAAATGTGAAATTTTAATTTATTAGTACAAAAATTAAATTCCACTGTTAAAAGAAGTCAATACAGCTGCATTTTAATTATTAGGAAATTTCTTTGCAAACAATTAGGTAAAATAAAAAAAGATTAAAATGAAATTAAACGCTAAAAATAAAAATGTATTCGCAAAAATCAACAACAAAACTGAAATTCCCTTTGAATAATAAGATCTTGATTTTTTATACATTATTTATAAAATAATTATAATAAGTAAATGCTTTATTAAAATAATTATATTGAATTAATTATTTTACTAAGAAAATGATTAATTATATTAAGAAAATGTACTGCCAGTTTGAAATAAAGGAATAATAGATTTTAACTTTTGTCAATACTTTTTGCCATCACAGAAATTTTATCAATAAGTTTTCAGAAATTTTGATTACTGAAAATATATTTAATTCATAGTTTCATAAAATTTATAAACCATGCTAAAAATATTAAAATCTTAAAGTGTTCAGATTTTAACCATTGCCCCCAAAAAAACTCTTTTAAGGTTTAATATGATTTATCAGTAGGGATTGTCAATACAAATTCCCCAAGTGGATAGCGAAACATTTGATAGAATACTAGATGAATACAAATTTAAGACTGGGAAATTATATAGCTCCTATATAGTATTTTAAAACTGAAAAATATATAATGCAATTTGATTAAAATATTTAATTTTTTAATTGAATGAATGCATCATTTAAAAATGCATGCATTAAAAAGTAAAAAAAAATTCATATTTTGAACTGCATTTATTGCTTTAAAATAACTTGGTTTGTTAATCAATAACAGTCAGATTAAAGTTAGATAAATATCTAACATTTTGCTGAATGGCAACAGATTTGAATGAAAAGTGAAGCAATGCAAAATCACATTTTTTAAGACTAACAGCCCTTTTGAGCTAAAAATATGAATGTAAAAACACACATAATTTTCACAAGCACAAGATTTTCTCAAATCAGATATTTCCAACCCAACATTTTCTCAAAGAAAACCAGTTATATTTGAAATACTATAAAATACTTAAATAATCTAAATTGCACTTATACTTTTTCACACACAATTCCTGTTTAAGCAATCTCTTTCCTACAAAATACAAACTTCAAACTATATTTATCACACTAATAGAGATAATTTCCATACTATGTGGGATATCTCTAGAAAATATTCAAAGTGCTCTTTATTATATTATGGCAAAATAAAACAAAAGCAAATAAGCTGAGCATATTTTAACAACAAATATTAATAATTTTAAATACCTTTTTAATAGACACAGTGGTATTTGGTTTATTTTGTTTGTATAGCAATATAGCAAGTGCTACTGCCACACCAAATAAAAGGCCATACTGTAAGAAAATGAATTCTAATTTTAAAAAAGCATTTCAATACAAAAAATAAAATGGAAATTCGATGAGAAACTCTTTACAGAATTCTGCTTACAGCTAAAAATTAAAATACTTGAACTAACTAAAATCAAATTTTCTAAAACTTCATTAAAACCAACTTACTTCAAGTCCCAAAGCAAAGGAACAAATGAATGTAGTTAAAAATGGAATGAGTTCCACTTCTAAGGGGGAAAAAAGTTTTTTTAAAAACATAGAATTTTACAATCTCAATTAAATAGTTAAAAGTGAGATATATATTTACCTGATATACATATAAGCTTTTATAAAAACTACTATATGAAAATATTTTCAAAATGTGAACCAAATCATGTTATAACATAAATATGCATACAGTTACAGATGAAGGTGTCAAATTTTTTTATATAAATCAAAATCTGTATTGCATACAACAAAAGCTAGCAACGATCTACTATACATAATCACCTTTGAAAGTGGCTGGCATTTTTTTAATATGAAAAACAAGCACACTACTATCATAAATTATTTTTCTAAAACACTCATGGGTAGTCATTTTAGGGTGGTTAAACTACTTTATTGAAGGTTCTCAAAGTTTATTTGAAATAAATTAGATGTGTTACAACTTAAAATATTTGATATTAGGTCAAATGTCAATAAAAAATTTAATAATGTAAATGGAAGAGTGCTAAGTAACAGATGTTATAAATTTTTATTTTGCTATAAAGATAATTTTATATGTATAACTAACAATCGTATGTTGAATAATATGTATGCTAAATACTTAAAAGTCATTTTGATTGTATGCTAAATACTTAAAAGTCATCATAAAAATTGCATTGATTTTGAAGTAGAAACTGAATCTTTAAACAGAATAAGCATTGATTCATCTACAACTGCGAACCACCACTTTGAAAGTATTTTGTTACTGAACTTGTTGGGAAATTTACATTTCCCTTTGTGTCTGCACAGTGCTGAAAACAAAAAGACAACTGTATAAAATTAGAAGTAATAGAAGCTACAGCTACGTGCCATCCCGATGTGGCTATTCATGTGGTTACTATTCTGCATATTGTTGTGGTCATAGCTGGAGTTCATTCCATCATGGTGTGATGTTGTGATGCAAAGAATCTTGGTGTGGATTTAGTTGCCTTACAGCGTCCGCTTTCTGTCCAGACCATATCTACTATGATGTAATGTAATGCATTATTATAGCAGCCAAGTATTGCACCAATTAGCAGTCAAGTATCTGATGACTTAATGTAATGCCAAAGTAGATCCAATAGAATATGACAAATCCAGATAATACAATGCATCTGATATGATGCCCCTGTTACATCACTTTTTCTTTTCTTTAGGTTAATGTGGCTTGTTCGTCTATCCTGTTAAGTGCCAATGAAAACCTTTTGTTATTGTCTTACATCTAGTACCTCCTTTTGGTGCACAAAAAAACCAACTACTTAATCATCCCTCTGACAAACCACAAACAGAAGGTTACAGTCCAGGAAGTAATGAAAATTAGTTTTTTTTCTTGGTTTTACTGAAATTTCAAATAACTTCCAAAACTAACAAACACAAACTTGACAAATGGGTCCAAAAAGATCAGGAAGCTTTAGCAATTATTGCTCTGAGTGTGAAATCATCTGAGGTAGTGCACATAAAAATGTGCAAAGCTTTATATGAAGCATGAATGAAACTGCATGAAATTCATCAGATGGAAGACCCTACAACTAATGTAAGCACTATGAAGCAACTTACCTCGAAAAAGATGAATGTGAATGAAACAACACAGTGTCACTAAACTTCTGTCAATGAAACTGTTGATAAACTTGTAGAAACAGGTTTTGACACACGGGAATTCCTAAGTATTATCCTATCATGTAGTTGAAGAAATTGACAGTTTCAGAGCTGTGTAGAATCTCGTGACAAACTGTCTGGCTACTACAATAATATAATACAGTCAAAAGTCATTAATTCGGACACCCATAATCCGGAATGATCTATAATCCGGACCGGAAAGCTAAAAACTTTCTGCGCATGCGCCGCATTCACACATGCGCATAGGTGTTTACGCGTGCGCGTAAGACCTTTACTACTGCGCATATGTGTGTGCGCAAGCACAGAATACGTTTTCGCGTGCACATTTTATGTATAACGGACGGTATATGCTAAAATTATCTATTTCAGTTAATGCTGATGATTGCGTTGTTCCTTAATCTTCAAATTATTTCCGGCTTATTATTTTTTGCAGACTGTAAGAGCAATTTTATAAAAGTAAACTTGAACTTTCGATTATGTCAAATAGAATTTCCGATACTGGAGCTCCCAAAGGATCTACAAAACGAAAGTATGTTCGGATGTCCATCAAACAAAAAGTGGAATTGCTGCAAAAAATGGATAAAGACATGAAGAAGGTGACAGAGAGGTTAGTGAAAACGAAAAAATTTCGATTGACAAGTTAGTCGGTATTCTCGGCAAAGCAATTACGAGACTTGAACAGCGGAACTTTGTAACTGAACAAGAATTTATGTCTGTTTATAGAATTAAAGAGAAAGTATTATCTCATAAAACAAGCAAACTTAAACAACTTACATTGAAAGAAATGAAATAAATATTAAGCTTTTTTTTTCTAAATTTTGATACCCTTTAGATCATAATTGTTCTTTATTTCATAAATTACGGTTTCATATTTTTAATTTTAGAATTTCTGCATGCCATCTTACGAGATTTAAATTGATGATCTATAATCCGGAAAAAACGACTTTTGACTGTAGTAACCAATTTTAAGCACAGGAAAACTGCCAAGAACAGAAAGTCTTAGTTACTAAATACTGCAGCGATGTAAAAGTAAAGACTAAGAATGCAAAAGTAACCAACCAGTAAATTGAAATTATGTAAGAAAAGTGTGGTCACTTACATCAAGCTGATTTAAAAGTATTGCAACTAAAATGATTGCGCATGGTCTACTTATTTTGAAAAACATATGCAAAATGCAAACAAACTTAGTTACCATTACCGAAAAAAGAACTGCAGAAAATTATTACATTCTTGAACTCGTGCACAGATATCTATGGTTTGATAAAAAGCATATCTTTAGATGATATAAAATATTTCATAATGTTCATTGATGACAAATCACTGAAAATTACAGTGTATGTCCTACAGAAAAGGTCAGAAGTCTTTGAAGAATTTAAAAAGTACAAATTTCAGGTTTACCGATATGGAAGCAACTGAAAATACTCTGAAGTGATAATGGGAAAGAAATCAAAAGACATCGATTCAACCAATTCTTGGAAAAGGAGGGTATTACATGCCAATTCCTAACTGAGCATAGATTGCAACAGAACAGAGTTGCATCATAGTTGAAATGGCCAGATGTCTGTTGTTCAAATCAAAACTACCCTAAGGCAAATGAGCAGAAAAGGTATCGACAATCATTTACATACATAATCAATGTCATGCTAAAAGTAGATAAAAAGTGTCTGAAAAAATATGGTCTAAAAGAAAGGCTACAGTAGTGCATTTCAAGATCATGGGAAGTAAACCTTTTGCATTAACCAATTTGAATAGGAAAAACTAATTTCTCACAAAAAGTAAAGAATACATTCTTATTAGTATATTCTGAGAAAGTATGAATATATATATATATACCAATGGAACCTGGAACCTATGAAGTAACACAAAATCGTGATATTCGATATTTGGACCTGCCTGAACTGAAACAAGAAACTCAGCTAACAAAGAGGAATTTATCAAATTTATTCCTACAGAAGAAAATTTGGAAGCTGATAAGAATTCTGAAGTGAAGGAAGAGCAATTGTTGAAGAAAGTGAAATTCAGGGTCAAAGTTCAGAAAGAGGATCAGGAAATAAGGAAAATTTACATTTCTGAAAATGGGAAAACCAGGCAGACCAGAAAGACTATATATTAGGAAGGGAAAAAATACTAATTTGTTAAATGCTGAAATTTGTGTGGGTCTAAAACCTGTAGAAGCTTTGTTCAGACCATATGCAGATAAACGGAGAGCTGCTACAAGAGACTGTAATTCCTTAATGTGAAACAATATGTGGGAATTAAAAAAATTACCAGATACAGTCAAAAGTCGTTAATCCGGACTCGTCGGGACTTCGGTGATTCCGGATTATCGATTTTTCCAGATTATAGATCATCAGTTTATATCTGCTACGATGGCATGCAGAAATTATAAAATTAAAAATATGAAATGATAATTTATGAAATAAAGAACAATTATGATCTAAAGGGTATCAAAATTTACAAAAAAAAAAAAAAAAAAAAAAAGCTTAATATTTATTTGTTTAATTTATTAAACATTTCTTTTAGTGTAAGCTATTTAAGTTGCTTCGTTTTTTATGTGATAATACATTCTCTTTAATTCTACAAACAGACATAATTTCTTGTTCAGTTACAAAGTTCCGCTGTTCAAGACCTATAATTGTTGTGTCGAGAATACCGACTAATTTATCAATTGAAATTTTTTCGTTTTCAATAACCTCTGTCACTTTCTTCGCTATCGGAAGTGAATTATAATGACGAGGAATTTGATTTAAATCATATCAAAGACGGAGTACATCGAGATGAAATACTACATATAGTACGAAATTATAAGCCTAATAAAATAAAAACATCTGGCCTGAAGATCAGGATAGTGCTGACAGATCAACTTCCAATTCATTGTGCACCGCGGCGTTAAAGATAAACAAAGTTTAGATAAACATTAAAGTTTAGATAAACAAGGGATAAGCCTTTATCCATTTTTTTGCAGCAATTCCACTTTTTGTTTAATAAACTTCGAAACATACTTTCGCTTTGTAGATCCTTTACATATTAGTAAATATATATCAGAAATTCTATTTGACATAATCGAAAGTTCAAGCTTACTTTTATAAAATTGCTCTAACAGTCTGCAAAAAATAATATGCCGAATCCAATTCGAAGATTTAGGAACAACGCAATCTGCAACATTAACTGAATTAGATAATTTTAGCTTAGCTTATACCGTCCTTTATACATTAAACGCGCATTCGTAAATGTATTTTGCGCACGCGCACACGTTTCGCAGACGTTGACGCATGCGCAGAAAGTTTGTAGCTTTGAGGTCCGGATTATGGATGTCTGAATTAACGACTTTTGACTGTAATAGAAAAGCAAATGGCTGCACATGGACATTATGAATACAATGAAAGGCAGATTACACTGTAAATCAGTATATGCCACACTCATCACCAAAGGATGCTGGGAGAAGTACGGCATTAACTTCATAGAAATATTTTCACCTGTAGTTCTCTATAATTTTACGCATACTCTGCTCATATTAGCAGCCATATATGATCTGAAGAAACATCAAAAAGCTTATTTGAAAGGGAATATTGATAAAAAGATATTCATATCCCAACCAGATGATTTTTTTGACAGCTAAAGGCAAAGTCTGCAAGCTGAAAAAGTCAATCCATGGACTTAAACAAGCAGGACTGATGTGGAATATAAAATTAGATGAAACTGTGCAGGAATTCAAATTTGAAAAATTAATGTCTGACAATTGTCTTTATGTATGGGAAGGAACAGATGACTGTATCATAATAGCTATACATGTAGGCGATTCCATAATTCTAACTAAAAGTAAATCTTTTTTGATATGCATTAAAAAACCTCTTAGGTTTGAAATGAAGGACTTGGGTAAAATAAAACAATGTTTAAACATTAACACTGGACAAAATTAAAAATGTGTCCATAAACTAAATTTAATACATAAAATAACTCCTGGTTAAATACAGTGCAAAAATTAATATCACAAGCTATCAGCATAAAACAAAACTATCTACAGAAAATTAAAAAGAAAAATAAATGAATAAGATAATAGTAGTGATAGCAGATAATATCGACCAGATAAACTCTAACTCCTCAAAAAGTTCAAATTTATGGTTTCACGCAAGTGTAAACTCAATATCATTATTTAAGTTCCCTAGTAAACATTCTTTAAAGCCATTTATAACTTAGTTTTTTTTTTTTTTTTTTCCATTTTTACTGTTGTTTATTCTTGATGCTCTCAAGTGGTTCGGCAGAAGGGAAAGACGGGAGGGAGACCCTACAATTGAGATATTGTAAAAGGTGATACAGATCAAAGGCTATCACAGTTAGTGCAAGAAAACTCACAATGATGAAATCTAATGAATGCAAACAATGGCATATAGACATCAAACATATAATGTCACATATAATATCACATATAATTTTAAATTATTTAAACACATTTTAAAATGTAACTGAAGTTAATTAGAAAGTTACAAATTTAGAATATTGGGGAAAGAAAAAGTTATTTTTCTTGCGCTAAAAAATATAAGAAATATATAAATAGAATTTTATAAAAATAAAAAAAGATTAATCAACTCACTATTTGTTTTCCACATTGCAGGCACATCTTCGTAATGGATCATAAATATCACAGCAGAAAATATAATTGCAGAAAGACATGATTTTGGAATATAATGAAACAATGGTGCAATTACACACAAAGCAAGTAGAACAAATGTTCCTAATGAAGATAATTAAACATTCATTTTTAATTTGAATTAACAAAGTTCATATAAAATTACATATACAACAATTTTTCATACCTGAAATTATCCCACCTAAAGGAGTTCTTACACCACTAGCATTATTTATCACAGACCTAAATATAAAATGAAACTTTTTAAGATTTAAAATTTCAATTTATAATGAAAGATAACATCATATAAATTAAAAGATAATATATCATTTCATTACATCAGAAAAGCCTCCCCACCCCTCAAAAAAACTATTTCTTTATTTTAAAACTAATTATACTTAAAATTCAATTCTATTACATTCAACAACCTTTTTCTATTGAGGGAAAAGCTAATACAGTCAAAAGTCGTTAATCCGGACTCGTCGGGACTTTGACAATTCCGGATTATCGATTTTTCCGGATTATAGATCATCAGTTTAAATCTGGTAAGATGGCATGCAGAAATTACAAAATTAAAAATATGAAACCGTAATTTATAAAATAAAGAACAATTATGATCTAAAGGGTATCAAAATTTACAAAAAGAAAAAGCTTAATATTTATTTGTTTACTTTATTAAACATTTCTTTCAATGTAAGTTGCTTCGTTTCATGTGATAATACTTTCTCTTTAATTCTATTAAACGGACATAATTTCTTGTTTAGTTACAAAGTTCCGCGGTTCAAGTCCTATAATTGCTGTGTTGTTTTCGTTTTCAATAACCTGTGGGTCACTTTCTTCACTATCGGAAGCGAATTATAATGACGAGGAACTTGATTTAAATCATATCAAAGACGGAGTACATCGAAATGAAATACTACACTTAGTAAGGAATTATAAGCCAAATAAAATAAAAACATCTGCCCTGAAGATAAGGATAGTGCTGACAGATCAACTTCCAATCCCCGGCGTGAAAATGATAAACACATTTCGGATTTCAAACATACTTTCGCTTGTAGATACAAATTACATATTAGTAAATATATATCGGAAATTCTATTTGACATAATCGAAAGTTCAAGCTTACTTTTATGAAATTGCTCTAACAGTCCGCAAAAAATAATAAGCCGGATCCAATTCGAAGATTAAGGAACAACGCAATCTGCAACATTAACTGAATTAAATAATTTTTGCTTAGATTATACCGTTCGTTACACATTAAACGCGCATGCGCAAAAACATATTCGCATCTGTAAAGGTGTTACGCGCACTCGCAAACGCCGGTGCGCATGCGTGAACGCTACGCATGCGCAGAAAGTTTATTGCTTTGAGATCCGGATTATAGATTATTCCGGATTATGGGTGTCCGAATTAACGACTTTTGACTGTACAGTATAAAGTCTTTAATCCGGACGTCTATAATCCAGAATGATCTATAATCTGGACCTCAAAGCTACAAACTTTCTGCGCAAGCGTAGCATTTATGCATTCGCATATGCATCTACGCATGCGCATAATACATTTATGCATGCGCGTTTAATGTATAATGGACAGTAGGACAGTATAAGCTAGGCTAAAATTATCTAATTATCTATTTCAGTTAATGTTGCAGATTGCGTTGTTCCTTAATCTTCTAATTGGATCGCTATCGTTTTTTTGCAGATGTTAGAGCAATTTTATAAAAAGTAAGCTTGAACTTTTGATTATGTCAAAAAGAGTTTTTGATTCTGGAGCTGCCAAAGGATCTACAAAACGAAAGCATGTTTCAATGTCCATCAAACAAAAAGTGGAATTGCTGCAAAAAATGGATAAAGGCATGTAGAAAGTGACAGAGAGTTTAGTGAAAATGAAAAAATTTCGATTGACAAGTTATTTGGTATTCTCGGCACAGCAATTACAGGACTTGAACAGTGGAACTTTGTAACTGAACAAGAAATTATGTCTGTTTATAGAATTAAAGAGAAAGTATTAGCAGATAAAACGAAGCAACTTAAACAACTTGCATTGAAAGAAATGTTTAATAAAGTAAACAAATAAATATTAAGCTTTTTTTTTTGGTCAATTTTGATACCCTTTAGATCATAATTGCTCTTTATTTCATAAATTACAGTTTCATATTTTTAATTTTATAATTTCTGCATGCTATCTTACCAGATTTAAATTGATGATCTATAATCCAGAAAAAACCCTAATCCGAAATCGTTGAAGTCCCGATGAGTCCAGATTAAAGACTTTGTAATGTATATACTACACATATCATTTGTCTTTAAAATTAAAAAACAAACTCTAGACACGAAGCTTAAATACTGCTTCTGAAACACTTTTAAATTTGAATGCTATGTCATTACAAAATTTGCATTCCAGCAGGAAACTGAAATCAGGAGGTACAAGAAAATCAAACTAAAAATAATTGGTTAGAATAAAATAAATCCTTACAGTTTATTAATGTTAAAGACTAAAAGAAATGTGATGTTCAGATTACAGGAGAAGTCACACACTATTTTACTCAGTTTCAGTTTAATACTTAAACAATTGTTAAATTTTTCAGGCATTTCACATCTTTTTAAACAAATTGTGTATTTGATTCAATAACTTATCAGATATACATTCTTTATTAAAAATATATAGCAAAAGTTATGCTTTCCTCTGTTTACAATATTAAAAAAGAAAAATATATTATTCAAAAATTTTTGGATAATTTAATTTCATTCTTCAGTTTCCAAGCATAAAATGCAGCTGAAATAGAAATCCAGAAATTCTTTTACAAACTAGTCTTTTAGAAGGCTTTGCGAATTTATAATGTATTCCAAAATGCTCATAGCTCCAGCAGGAAAGTCCTGGCTCTTCTCAAACAAACTAACTTTAAAGGTGTGCGCATTCTAACTCCAGTAAAAGACTTCTGTTCCTAGAATCTTTGGAGTGAGCTTTTAAGCTGAAACCAGAGCCATTAACAAAGAGACCTCATTTCAACAGGATTTCTCCTTATGTATGAAAGAGATACCATTGCATTCTGAAATGACTCCCCCCCCAAGAAAGCCAGACTAAGAGCATCTATGTGATCTTGTCACAGGAATAACCAAACATAATTTTAGTTATTAATTACCTAATCAAAATGCAAAACACAGAGAAACAGAACTTATTTGGAAACCATAATTTTTTTTTTCTTCCTCCCAGGATTTCATTTTGAATGTGTCACATTCTCACTCTTGTTTGCTTCTTGTTAAGGTATCATCCATCATAATATTATTAAGATGTAGAATAGACAGTGATTAAGAAGAGGAACAGAAATTGCACCCATTGCCTTGTGTAATTTATAATAAGAATGAGTTTCTTAAGAATTGTTTTGTCTAGAAATCCAATGTGTTAACTCAGAATCACAGTTAATATATGACTGCAAGTTTCTCTATGCAACTACTAAGTCACCAGTTTCTCTAAAATATTACATCATTTATATTTCTTCAAGACAATTTCAGACACAGATTCAACATTAAGCTAGTGATAAAAGCTATTATTCCTATAAAGATTTGCAGCCATACAGAATACCTAGAGAACTCAAATACATTTAAAAAAAAATTACTGCATTTTCCGTGCAATATTAGTTTAGATATACAGTCTATATACAGATTCATACAATCATCGAATACGAATGATTTATACATCAAGCACATATACAGTACAAAGTCACAGATCTAGACTCGTCGGGACTTCGGCGATTCCAGATTTGGGATTTTTCTGGATATTAGATCATCAGTATAAATCTAGTAAGATGGCATGTAGAAATTATAAAATTAAAAACAGGAAATCATGATTTATGAAATAATGAAGCATTTATGATCTAAAGGGTATCAAAATTTACAAAAAAAAAAAAAAAAAAAAAAAAAAAAAAAAAAAAGCTTAGTATTTATTTGTTTACTTTACTAAACATTTCTTTGAATGTAAACTGTTTCAGTTGCTTCATTTTTTGTGCTAATACTTTCTCTTCAATTCTATAGATAGACATAATTTCTTGTTCAGATACAAAGTTCCACTGTTGAAGTCCTGTAGTTGCCGTGTAGAATTTTAACTAACTTGTCAATTGAAATTTTTTCGTCTTCAGTAACCTCTCTGTCACTTTCTTCACTATCGGGAGGGGTATTTCCTGGATTTAGAAACATACTACAGATTTCGCCGTCCGTTAATTGATTGATGATTGGAGCATTGTCATCGCGATGAAAATCTTCTGTTATAACATCTTCATTTATTACCGCTTTTCCACATTTCTTTACAAAATCCATTAACTGAAAAATTTCACCTGTGGTTTACAATATCCGAAAGCCTTGAAATTCATGGCTATCATCATCATCCTCACCATGAATTATGGTAGCTGGCCAGAAATTATTCCAAGCATTTTTTAAAATATCTGGTGGCACATTCTCCCACAACCTTGCGATGCGCCACACAGCCAATTTTATGCTAAAATATTCTTTTTTAAAATTCTTGAATAGTCATGCCATTATTCAAGAAATTTAACAATGATTTAAAAAATGCTACATTATATTTGCATATCAGCGCGCGCACTATTCCAATATCCATACGCTGAATGATGGACATACAGTCTGGAGGAAAGAATAACAAGGTTTTAATGTAACCTTGTTATTCATTAAATCTTTAAGTGAAATTTCATTAAATCTTTAAGTGAAATATGAGCCGCACAATTATCCACAATTAGGATAATTTTTGTGTCATCAGGTAAACCAACCAAATTGAAATTTTGCCGAGCCCATAGTACAAAATGATTTTCAAACCAATCATACATTAATGCTTAAGTCATTCATATGCTCTTTTATTTGCCTGAAATATAATGGGAAAATCTTTACTCCATTAAATGCTTGAGGTCGTGTATTTTTCCCATTTCTAAAAGTTAACACTTGTTCGCTCCTGCAGCATTTGGGCATCTTAAAATTGTTAGTCTAACTTTGGAATCTCAGACATCGTCTGGAGCTTTTTCTGCAGAGAGTTTGCCAAGGTATTTCATGGTACATATTGCCAGAAAAGCCCAGTTTCATCGGTATTGTAAATTTTTCCTGGAGATAACGTTTCACTATTAATGAGTTCAATGAATTCATCTGCAAATTGTTCAGCAGCTTCAGTATGAAGGTATGAAGTACGAAGGTTTTTCACCTGAAATTTTTAATTGCATTATGCTGCAGTGACTTTAAAATTTGGTTAACTACTCTGTTGAAAATGTGCACTCAGTTTTTAAGTTTATTTCTTCATGAAATATTTTGGCTTGAGCCATTAGCATTGGGCCCGTCAATGGCCATCTTAAACCAAAATAAGAGGAAAGCAAGTGTCTACCTGAGAATTCCGAAAAAAATACCTCTATCTCCCTAACTGAAGGCAGTTCACTATTCATAAAGCCCATGCAATGCTGGGTATTTCAGCTACTTATTTATAATATCTGAAAACAATACTACCGCACTGATTTCCAAAGCTACTTTCACTATAAACAAAGTCTAAAAAATAATTAGATATTACAATACTACACCCAAGCTGTAACCGACTAGCTTGGAAGTAACCCAACCTTAAAATTATGGAGGAGATGTCACTCCTTTGCTATCGTGTTACTTAAAAATTAAGGCTCAGGCTCATTACCAACCCTTCCCATTTGTGATCATAACATATATTGTCATCACCATATGACACTTATCTTCTTCACCTTATTTCAGACTGTAGTTCAAGTCACACATCGTTCACATTTTTCATGAAGCAAAACAGATTAAACAGAAATGAAGTGCAGAAAAAAAATTAGGCAACTCAAGGTTGGGACGCAAGTTGAACAACAGAAAATAATCTTGAAGTTCCTATTTTAAAGTAACAGACAACAGCAGCCATAGTGTGTATTAGCATTTAGAAAGTAAATCCCGTGGCAGAAACGGAGTTCAAAACTAAGTAATATTTCTATTCAAGTTAAACAATAATTATTCAATTCTGACCTTGCAATTAGTGAGAATATTCCTAAATCTGTAAAAAATATTTTACAGCCTTTATAAAAAAAAAAAAAAAAAAAAAAAGAGAGAGAGAGAGAGAGAGAAGAAATATAATTTCAGTTTATATTATACAGAATTAATTTAAATGCCAAATAGATTTCTATCAAGAGCTAGTCAAATGACATACAGAGATTAGCATAAGGCCCCCAGGCATATACCCAGCAGGCCCATGCATTAAGATGGCAGTTTCTTAGTTCAAACTATTTTTTACATTTATTTTTATAAAATAATTTTTAATTATGATTATAGTGTTATGATTCTTTAATGCTAAGTTATAAACTTATTTACCTAACAATAAATTCTCTGTCTGCTAAAACGTTCTAGTGCTAATTAAAAAATATATGGCATTTTATTCTGATGTTGATATGATATTTTAGTAGGCTGTGTTGAACAGCTTACTTTCATTATACTTTCATTATGAATTATTCAAGAATCTTTAAATGAAATTTTTCTTTTTTGAGAAATGCATACATATTTACTAGTTAAGATTATCATTTCAAAAGAGTAATCAACTTCAATGAAATTCAGTTACCTAGAGAAACTTCCTGTTACAGGATAGGAAGACACAAATGAACCCATTAAGTTGCCCATTCCTGCACAATAGGGGAGAAAAAATCTAATGAGAATTTTCATGCTGTAATTAATTTTACATCACTTAACTGCTACTTCAGTTTTATAAAATATTATTACATTTATAAAGAAATTGAACTAATATAATTTGGAAAAACTATTATAAAAAGATAAAAATATCCACACTTAGTACAAAAGACTTGCATACAGCTATTTTAGACGTAAATTTAAATTATTTGAATTCATTAACCTTCTCAATAAATTTCATACTAATGCTATATTTTATTAATTTTTATATTAATTCAATTACTAATTATGCTAGTTTTTTACACGTAAACAACTTTTGACACGATAAGCATGACAAAAGCAGACGCACAGAATGAAGAAAATTAAGTTCTTAAAAGTTGCATTAACTTTAGGAAGCAGTGTCTAATATGTGTGAAGATTTGTAAAGTATGCAAAAGTTCTATTGTTACACAATTTTTTTACTTATAAAAGAGATAAAAATATACAAATTTATATAAAAAGAAATACAACAAAAATAGAAAATAATAATTAAAATACAACAAATAATGATAATAATTGATGCATCATGATAATTTTCAGGCATAACTTATTAAATGCAATTTAAAATGCATATAAATTTTGAAATAAATTTTGACATCTCAAACACGAATGAACAATAAAAGTAAAATACAAATGATTTTATTACCTAAAGCAATCATCTCCCTACTTGATTGCAGTTTTATTCCCTTAGCTGCAAAAAATGCATACATAAATAAAGAGCTTGGATACTTATATATCAGGTTTTTAACTAAAGTTTTCCGCCACTGCAAATAGCATTCCCATAAACAGTTCTTGTTGCCATGTTTAATCATATTTTGCCAAACGATTTTTTGCATTTGAAAGAAAGTTGTTTTAGAACACTGTGTTGTCAAATTTGTAAAAATATATAATTATCATTAAGGTGGCTGAAATGGGGCTATCATGCTACCAGATTAGAACCATCATTTACTTTCAGTTCTGTTGCAAAAAGTCAGCTACAGAATGTCACCAAATCATGTATACAGCTTCAAGGACTAATGTTGTATCATGTGACACGGTGAAGGTTTGGCACCGAAAGTTAAAAAACAAAGATTAGACACTCAAGATGCACAGCACACTGGCTGGCCTACTGATGTTGATGAGGCCCACCTGCGAGAACTTGTGGGAGAAGATCAGTATGCAACCAATCGAGAGCTTGCTAAGGAGTTGCTCAGTGGCATGTCCATTGATCACATTATGCATCACATGAACTTGATATGCAAGTTCAATCGCTGGATGCTGCATGAGCTGACTCAAGCAGATAAGGTCATATGTGTTCAAGCCACTAATTTGCTCAATGTGCACTAATAGGGTTTATATAAAAAACAAATTTTTTGAAAAACCAGATTCAATATTTTCCAAAAAACCAGTTAATTGGTTTACAAATTTTTGTCAAAAAAAAAAAATATATATATATATATATATATATATATATATATATAGGGGAAAATATTTTATTTAATTATATAAAATAAAAAAAAGAAATCAATATCGAAGCGAAAAAAACAAAAGAAAATTAAGGATTGCATATACATATCACTTACACAAAATAAAGAAAACTCGAACAAAAATTTCAAATAATATTTATATTATTTTCACTAATTTTAATTTATCCTAAGAAACAGGATTTTCAAAAAAATAAAATATCTACAGAACGATGGCTAAGTCTTGTGCTTATTTTGGACACAACATTGCCTGAAATTGAAAATACTCGTTCATAAGCTACTGAGCTTGGTTTTATAGTTTTCAGGACTTCAAATAACAAACCTAAGTCTTTTGTTCTTTTATTCGTTGTCTCAAATAATGAAAATTCAGCTTTCAGTTTTGCTGGATTTATAAGTTTCTTTTCAAGGTCTTCAAGAAACTCATAAATCATTTTCCCATGGCTTCTTTTAAAAAAGCATTACTCTAATGAGCAGTTTCTTCGATTTGCTCTTCATCAGAATTGGTTCCCACATAAGAATTTGGAAATACACTAGACAATACCTTTCCAGGTAACTGAATAATTTCGGTCTTAAGTACACTAGTAAGTTTTAAGTACACATATGTAGTAACACAAAATAAATTGGTTAGACATGTGTTTCCATGTGCGCAGATATAGCTGTGCAGTGCACAGTGCACAAGCACTGGCCAGCATTAAAAAAGTGTGTTTGCTGTCAGTTGCAGAGAATGAATAGCAAATCAAATAAGTTTAAAATAAATTTTTACATTATAATATCAATTCTTTAAACTGGTTCTTAATTAAGAAAACCGGTTTTCGAATGTGACGAATATATTTCAAAAATCAGTTTTTTAAAACCAGGTTATAAAACCCATCAAACCCTCTACACTAATCTTCTTGAATATCAACACAAAGACAAAATAATGGACCAGATCGTCACTTGTGATGCACACTTTACTTCAACACCACAGGCTGAAAAGGGGATTGTTCTGCATGTAGTGAGCTTGTTGGCAATGTTGTAAAATGCAGTTTGACTAACAAAAAAATCATGCTTTGTATCGGGTGGGATTGCCATGGTATTATCCACAAAGAGTATCGGGAAAAATATAAAACCCTATATAGTAAGGTGTAAAGCCCTATATAGTAAGGTGTAAAGCCAGATGCTAATCTGTGTTGATGCTGCTATCAAAGAAAAATTTTGAACTGAATTACCGCACAAAATCGCAGTGTTCCATCAAGATAACACAAGACCACATGTGTCTGCATTCATCAGATGGACTGTGTAGGGACTCGAATGGGATCTTTTGCCACCCTCCCTTTATGGCCATGACATCCCTTCTTCAGACTTCTACCTTTCTTTCACACCTGCAGCTATATCTAGCTGGTGCTATCTTCCATTCTGCTCAGGACATCAGAAATGAGTTTGATCTGTTTTTGGAACTCGTGGCCACCAAGTTTCTGGGCTGAAGACTATGAAAAACCATCAAAATGTTGGCAGAAAACCATAGCTTTAGGTGGTGTTTACTATTTGCACTAAATGTACTGTTTTCATGTTCCCCCCCCCTAACTTTATGAAGAACGTTTTTTGGTGGAAAACTTTTGTTACAACCAGATATTTTAGACAAGTTAGCATAATAAAACTATATCTAATGAAATATAAAAATACAATATAAAACAGACTTTAAAAAGAATTTAAAATTAAGAGAAAAGTGCTCCAAAAATAAAAGAAAATTCAATATTGCAAGCCAATAAATAACAAGAGGAAAAGAAAAGTAGCTGTTTTAAAAATTTTTAATTAATTTTCAAATACCAACTAATAAGAATACTGTGCAAATCATATGATCATACTTTTAAGGCACTTTTAATGAAGTGTACATTATCCATTTATTAAAAAAAATCCCAAGAATTTAATACTAAACAAAAAACAAAAAAAAGGGAGATAAAAAATAAAAGTACTTTTGCATTATCTGCCCAACGCTCCCACAAAGTGGCGAATTGCTGGTGACTACTTTTTTGCCAAAGTAACATGTGAAAAACAGTAGCCATTTTAAAAAAATGGCCCCACTGAAAATTACATAAAACAGCAACAAATTAACAAAATAAAAATGCATGAAATATAAAAAATGGCACAGTATTTGTTTTTTAAATCCACAAGGAAACACTTAAAATTTCATAAAACAGTCACAAATACACTAATACTATAATTTTGCAACAAATACCCACAACAAAACAATTAAGTTTCTATTTTCTTGGTCCCTGTACATAGCTGCCTGTTTAAGCTTATTAAAAGTAACAGAGAATTGCAGAATTCTTGGCATTGCACAGAAACTTGGCACTGGTCTAATGTGCACACTGACTTGTTTTAACTTTAAAAAAAATCAAAGAATTGCTTTTATTTGGAAAAACAAATTTTTTGACATTCTTCTTTTGCTATGCTAGACACACATGCTTCTCACAGATAACTGCATCAATGAGTAGTTATATTCGGAGATACAGGACCTGTATATCAAGACAAGAACTGTAAGAACAACAAAACTTACGAAATGTATATTCTTCAGACCAGCAATAAATAAAGGAAACAGCTGTCGCAATCTTTAAGAATGCATTTTCATGCAATTTGATCATTTGCTTCATGGGAATTCCAAAACAGCCCCCATTACGTACCGTCATAATGCACATGCAACTATTAGTGCATTGTTAGATAAAATACACAATTCTAAAAAATTCTACCTCTTTTATTCGCATCGTCTGTTAAATATAAATCACTAGCCTTTAAACAGCTGTCAAATTTCTTGTTTGTTAGTACAGTCTTGCATAATGAATGCAGTATGTTCCAAGTCAGCATTAATTATGTAGAATATCATTTCCTATAAATTATTTTAGGGAAGAAATTTAAACCAACTCCCTATAAATTACTACATAATCATAATTTTTAATTTAATTTCTCTAGCCCACACAGTGGTGGTTCATGGATTATTTAAATACAGGTTCCCAAAACAAATTAAAAAAATTAAATATGCAAATATGATATAATTTACAAATTAAAATACATTTGCATTTTCACTTTGTAATTTACAGTTCAAAATAGATTTGCATTTTTACAACTTATGAAAACAACGAAATTAAAACAAAACAAGTTCTCATAGGTAAAAGAATTGTAATATTTTATTTCTTATGATGGAATGTAATAAATCAATAATATTGCTTATAATATACCTTTGAATGTTGATAACAAAATAGTCAAGTACAAGTTTTGTAAATGAAATCCAGTTTTTTTTTTTTTTTTACTTTTTCATTGAATTTAGGTAGTTATTTATCATGCTTTTTTCAATTGGGAGCATGGCTAGAGCATTTAGCCTGTCCTTGCTCAAAGTGACTCTTAAAAATGTCTTAACTCATTTTAGAGTTGAGATGCATCTCCCTGCTTCAGCAGTGGTCATTGCAATAGTTAGCAACAGTTTGTAGGTCTCCGAAAACATAGTTGTTTTCAATAATAAACTGTAGAAGGCTAATAGCACCAATCATATTTTGAAAATCTGACCTTCTGTAAATTACTCCTAGTTCAGTTTTCAGATGACCCTTCTGTTACATGGAATAAACATCAGTTGTTTGGTGTCAAGAATCTGAATTGGAAACTTTCTCGAAATCTGGAGTTTTGGAGCTTCGAGAAAAAAAAATAGCAAAGTACTATTCTATTTATAGGAATGTTTTCTCTCTTCCTTTTTCTTGAAATTTCATGATTACGAAATCTCCTTTGTCACTGTATCTATTCTTTTCTTTCTTTAACGAATGCTGGAAAATATTTGCTTGCTTTTTCATGAATGTTACATCAATGTTTCCTAAAGCTGGTTGTATAAAGACCCGTCTACACGAAGTGATTTTCTCAGCTGACTTTCTCCTAGAGCAACAATTTTAAGGATTTGCGCATGCGCCAAAAATTGGTCATGTTCTCTGGCGTGATTTCAGAACTGGTGCTCACTGCTCACTAGCGTACGATAAAATCGGAGTCTCTAACCAATAAGATTGCTTTGAGTGATCACATGCTTTTCTCCTCATTTGGAATAATAAACATGGCTGCATTTCGTTGGAGCGAAACTCAAATTTTTCAACTAATAGATTTCTATAGAGAAAATGTTGTGTTGTGGGACACGAGTAATGTAAATTTTAAAAATAAAAAATTAAGGGATTCTCTTATTTTGGTAAGATTTGTCTTCGCCATTACTTTATATATT